TAATGGCCAGCATTTTACGCCATATTCTGATTATACCCTTTCGTTCAATCAGCAATCTGATCATCTCCCGGTTGTGATAGCACGTGCATCTACAGCATACAGAATATATTAGTATACATAAGTATACGCTCTGATTGGGATCTATTGCCTTTATGCTGGTATTTATATTATATTGTCACAGCGCTCAGTTAGGTGAACGCACAAGATAGACTGGGGACGCGGAGGACACCACAGAGGAGTTCGGAGAAACATCGCCACTGAATGACTGTAAAATAAACCAACAAGCAATAATAACCAGGATAAAGAAATCACGGCTCGTGTTTTTCCAGTATCAAATATCCAGGACTTCACCTGTATTTTAAAGGCTTACAAAAGGCTGACCTGACACCACGACACGTTAGCAAATAAACCCAGAGAAACCGGCTTCTGTTTTATTTGAACAGCAGGTGTGAACAGGCCTACTGGGTGCTTTTTATATCAGAGGTAATGCGAACGATCTGTCCTCGCTACCGGGTTTGCGACAGTGCTTTAACAGATTCGCCATATAGCGTACTAGGTGCCTAAGGCCAGTTAGTCCCATAGCGTTCAACTCACGCGCTGCGGCGTTAAGGACATCGCATAGTGAAGGAGAGTTAAAAAAGGGTCACACCGGAGAGCTGAACGAGTCGTCGGGGGACTTTGTTTTGAGAGAAGACGCTTGGGAACAGAACTCTGCGCCATCGAAGACCACCTCGCGCCGACAGACGCATAATTTTGAACTGTGAAAAGCAGTAAAACAACACACGCTAGCTGTGAGCTGATACACCGCTTTCGTTACACCTTAATTGTCTCCGAGCACCAAACATGTCACCCACTGAAAAAGAGACAAGACTTGACATGGGGGATTCCTTAGGAGGTGTCATAGTGACAGAAGCACGTGGAGGTGTCATAGTGACAGAAGAACAGGGGGAGAAGAAGACACCTGACCTCGACCAGACAAGTAAACGACTAACCGACTTCGATTTTATAACAATTTATTTGACAATTATAGCGCTGAGTGTGTGCGTCCTCCAGTTAACATTTATGCTGTACACAACCCAAAACCCTACCATTAAAATAGACGTAATTGTGCCAGAAACAGCAGGCCAGTCTGCAGGAGCATTTCCTTTGAGGTCAATTAACGTTACTGTCACAAGGACGGAAAGGCGGTCTCTATTTCAGGTGTTACGTCGCGTGATTTCCAGCGTTGATGAAGAAAACCCTGTCAAGGAGTTGCGGGTGCTACAAGGAAAGCAACAGATTTATCCAAACAAAAACGTTTAATTGTGAGTATATATATAATATTACTTTCGTATCCAGAATAATACAGTATATATTATTATAAAATATATCAAGTCAACATGAACTGGAATTTTAATATCACCTTTAGTGATGTTGGCGATTTTTAGTGGATCTCAACTTGATTTATTTTTAGTGAGGACTTACGTATTTGTATTAAGTTTAATAATTAAACACGTTTCAAACGTCTGCAGCAACAATCTGAGCATGATCCAAATGATATATGAAGTTAACTCAACCGCTTGGTATATATGAACTCTTAGTGTATGTTATCTAGAATTTCTTGACCTAAGTAATTTTTGTGTTTGTAGTATCGTTCAATTCCAGTGTGTAAAACAGTTTTGCAAAGGATCATAACTATAGCTGCTTACGTTTTTTTATTTGAAATGATCAAGTATTATTTTTTCTCATTTAAAAAAAAAATGCTTAGAAAGAACAGACAAAAACGGTAAATGGTAATGCATTTTCATATCATATATGGGTTTTTTATTGGTTTGGTTTGTTTTATTGCCCTATACATTCTTCTATAGTAATGTCTTTTCACATTCTTTTTTAGGCCATCTTTCTCTTCGTAACAAGCTACAAAATCTCCTCGGTAATTTCGACTTACGGATCAAGGATACCCGGATGCCTTGGGCAAATGGTCGTTATCAAAACTGCATCTCTACTGTTATTCTGACTGATATGTAAATCTGGCAAGGCATCCTAGCGACAACATCGCCGGAGGAAATGGGGACATTGTTGCAAGCGGGAGCTGACTCTATTTAAATCGACATACATCAGTTGATTTATTATTCATATTATATATATTGTATTTTCTTTCATTTGTGAAGTTGTATAACAGGAACAGGGACACGGGGCTATTTTGATACTAAGAGAAGAAGGTGATGCTCCCATGTGTATAGTTTATATCGGTAAATCAGCCTTGCACGAACTTTGTTTGCGTTTATAACGTACGGCAAGTTCAGTTTAAAAATACATACCCGGTATAGGGAGTTCTGATGAGAACATGCATGCATTCATGCAATATAGGGAGTGATCAGCACAGATAATATAATATAAAAAGGACAATTTCGCAACTGATTCAGCCTGTAGCCGGACCCTATAACTACTAAAAGGACAATACCTTAACTTTTCTAGTCACAATTACACAACATACGTTCCGCAAGACACATTAGGCTACATTGTAATGAGCATGTCCTCATGGCGTTGAATACAGGGCCGTAGCCTCCGGGGGGGCAGGGGGGGCAGCTGCCCCCCCTGGGATTTAGAATTTTACACACTGGTAGGGGGACACCCCCTCCCCCCTCGGGGGCTTCGCCCCCTCGTGTCCGCTTACTGCCCCCCCTGGCATTTTGCTCAGGCTACGGCCCTGGAATAGAATAGTGTAACCTGGTGATTAGAAAAAATTAAGGTACGTTGGGAACAACAGGAAGCGTGTAATTAGCCTGCTAATCAGATTGCATTCAGCAAGAGTCCCCGTGGAGCTGGTGCGCTAAAGCTAGGTCCACAAATTCCATTGTGAACGGTCCTTAAGTAACGACGGTATACGCACATGTCCCGGAGCTTTACCCAGTAGGCCTATTATAGAGGAAATAGGGTAACATGTTCTTGCGGAAAGAGTTATATTGTTATTTATCAGTTATATTGTATTACAATGAACGCGACCATATGCACAATGGCTGGCCTAGTTTGCTGCTACAGTCTTTGTCATCATTATAGCTGATGAGTGTTTAATTCGGTTTTGTCTGGGTATGAGAAATTCACGGATTCATAATAAATGGCGGTCCAATGTGGGAAGTAAACCATGCTTCTTGTGATTTTTTTTATTTTCGTCTTATTTAATTAGAATTTACACTTTTAGATGTTGTCTTCTCTTGGACCTTTCAGCCTTATTAACTGACACAGGCAACAGTCATAATGGCGTCATTAGTTCAGTTTGCAATATTATTATTATCATAAATCTTGTATATTTCCTGTGTCCATTCTAAAAAAAAAAATAAATAACCGATCGAAAGAAGAATTCGGCAGATCCCTTTGCCTAAAAGTGTTATTAATTTGCAGAAGAACTTTCAGGTAGGCCTACCAGTATACTATCAACCAATGAAAAGATAGGCCTACAAGTCCAAATATTTTCTTTGTCTACATATTTTAGAAAGCTACGCGTACTAATTTTTCCAGCTTAAGACCTAAAAAAACGATTATAGTCCCTCAAATAAAAGTATCTGATGTAGGCCCCCCCCTACACATTTATTTTTATTCATATCGTTCAGGGAGCCGTGACGGTTTTATTTAAACATTATGGGAAACATTTTGAATAAAATTATTAAATTGAAATCATTAATGACATACATGTAAAATAACATAATCAAGTGTCATTCCTGATGTGATGCTTTTCAATACAAGGTTAAAGGTAGACTTCATGGGTTTGAAATCCCCAAAATTCTTTGAAAATCCTCACAGCTTCTTTTAAAACCTTATACACATCTTTTAAATTAATTAACATCTGGAATACTTTTTGAAGCGTACCTAAGGCTGCAGATATTTCCATTAGAGCTTATAGGAAAATGGTCGCTGTTTGAATGACTGGCCAGCCGGTCCTTTTAAGCTAAAATTAACCTTAATGAATTTTATCAACGGTCGAATCCAAGTGCAGATAGGGATTAGATCTGGCAAGCCATACGTTTTGCCAGACATTGCCAGACGTTGCCAGATCTGGGCCAGACGTGGGCCAGATTACTGAGGCTGTCTGGGATAGTTATATGATTCATATCTACGAGAAAATTGCTTATTTTCCCAGGAAAATTCATTTTGGCGGTTAAATGTGATGGAATGTAGCCTACCTTTAATCAGTTGAAGAGACGCGGAAGCTTGGGACGCGGATTATTAGGCTACATGCCCTGTATTTTGGTCACGTTTTCGATGCTTCTACGAACATGACCGATGCATGTGAACTGGTCCTCAATATATACGCCTACCAGGGGGAGGAGGAGGGGGGTTATTTATTCAGACTTGGTTTTTACTTCATTTTCTATCTATCTAGCCTAGGCCTATCTATATCTATCTATCTATCTATCTATCTTACTTTCTTATTTTCTTTAATTACTTTTTTAATTATTTTTTCCTTTCTGTAACCTTTTTTTCTCAAATACATGTATTTCTGACCTAACAAGCTAACATTAAGTTAAAGTTTATAACTTAAAATTGAACGAAAATTTCTTCAAAATAGGCCTAGCTAAATCCATAGTTCAATATTTGCGTTAGGGAAACAAGTGTCGAAATGTACAAAAAATGACAAAAAATTCAAACAAAAACAATCGGTTATGCATAAATGTAAAAAAAATCAAGATTATTTTATCAAAAAGCGACAATAGGCCTAGGCCTTCATGTAGGCCTACAGTGTAGGCCTACACATAGAAGTAGAGTGTATAGGCCTACAGTAGGCATAGGCCTACATGCAGGAGTTTCAAATCCGGTTGGTTATCACAAAGAAGGGAAAGACCCAATGTCTTCTTATTGCTGAAACTCTTCAAGATTTCTTGCTGCCCCACATCTGTCACTACCAGTATTTAGCATGGGACTCTTAGTTCCGTGGTTTTCTTCCTCAAAGGATCCCATCTACCCCCCCCCCCCCAATATGGGGCCCCTGGCATGCGCACATCAAATGCGCACATCGATGTAAACAAAAAATGGCGTCGACTGCTGTACAAGTAAGAGGCATTTCCTTTACTCAAAATAAGACGCACAAGAGAAGAGCGAGCGAGTAACTGCTCCAATTTTATTACCATTTACAGGAATAACTATAACAAAGTACTTTGTTGATATTTAGGATTACGATTATCCTCGTACGGGCGCCAAAATAGTTCGAAGTGTTTTGATCCACTTGGCACTTCCATTCTCCCTGACTCACTTTACCATTCCTCTCTTTTGTTTGTGAATTACAAATCCACATCTTCATTCTCACAAAGCGATATTTATCATGCAGAACAATAAAGCATTCTTCATGAAATCTAGACCAAACTACATTTGAATGATCTTTCACCTCGGAACTTTGAAGAGCGAAGCCCCTGTATGGAGTCGGGTATGTCTGAGGTAAAATATGTTAACATTTAAAATTTGATTTAAACCTCTTATTTTCAGAGTGTAGATGACCTGATAGCCGTACTGGTCAGCATGGGTTTTGAGATCACGGACGGTCAGCAGGCTGTCCAGGCAGGAAAACTCACAGTAGAGGAGGCAGTTGAATGGTCAGTTATGAGTATATTTCACATCTCCCTCCCCCCATAATACGGTATATAGTGTCTTAGGGCTTACAGTTTTTTTAGATTTCTTCATTTGCTGAAAGTCCTTTTAAATCAAATCAAGAATATTTTGTCTTATTTAATATTTATTTGTTGAGCCCACAGTTAATTTCAACCACAAATAAATGTATTTTTAGTTATTATAATTTACAATAAATGCAACATGTATTTCTTCAGTGTGAAGCTGTTGTAACGAATGTTGATATTCTGGTTTCAGGATACTGCAAGGGAAGCCTCAGGCAGCTCCAGCTTTACCTGGGAATTCAGTGCTGAGACTGAGACCACAACAGGTATTTAGTAATCTCTCTCTCTCTCTCTCTCTCTCTCTCTCACACACACACACAGCAGCAGTATTGTTAACTATCCATGTTCCAGGGTAGCAGTCTGGACACAGCCCCCAGTGCCATGGCTAGCTTTGTGAAGCCAGTTCCCATTCCTGAGCACGTCACAGCTCCCTCTGCTGCCAGTCAGCTGGGAGAGGAAGACAAAGAAGAGGTAGGGAGAGAAAAGCTTGATTACATGTTGAATCTCAGTATATTCAACAATTTTATGCCCAATGGTGTTATGTTCAACTTTAAAGCACTTAAGAGCACAGACCTTCACCAACACAAAATATTAACATAATTTGAATTTTAAAAAAAGTGATAAAAATTAAGGGAAACCTGGATATAGTTAAAATTGTAGCCACCTCCCATCCTGTTTGAAGTAATTATCCTGAAAATTTCACATCCATTTGTGAAAATGTTTTTGATAAACACCCTTCATTGGAGTACATGTATGTGAATTAAAGTTGAGTAGCTGTAGAGGGGATACCTTAATTGTTGGTGAGAAACTGCTGTTGCTACACTGAGTTTAAGTTATTAATTTTATCTCCAGGAGCAGCTGGCCAGTAGAATGAGGATGAGTGATGAACAAAGAAAAATAAAAGAAACTTTTGAAGAGAAGCAGAGAGAAGAGGCAAGGAAATCTGCACTGTCAGAGAAAAAATTGAAAAAGAAGGTAAGGCCTGAACTGTAAAGAAATGCGGTAAAATATATTTAAGGAAGCATTATGTGAATTATGATCATTATGATGTGACATAAGAGGTGTTGGTAGGTGTGCTTTGTCAGAAAAGTGCATAATAAAAGCAAATAGGTTAAGATTGAATCATTGCTAATGAATTGATGATCATGATAGGAAGTGAGATCCCAAACGAGAAAACCTAAAACCAGGAAGAAGAAATAAAAATGGTTGAAAGTTCAACAATGATACCTGCTGTATCTGAATTTTAAGAATTGACAGTGGCAAATAGTGGTACTTTTCCCACAATGCCAAGCCACTCTGTGATGTTCAGTATAAGCAGTATGGGGCACCACATGAGCAGCCTAGCTGTATGGAGGTGTGGCTTTGTTAGTCCATGTTTACACGTTGTATTTGAAAGGGGCATGTAGGTAATGACTTGTAATAGTTGAAAAAAAAAAAAGAAATCATGCAAAGATGTTAAAAATGATCATGTAGAGCTTTTTATCAAATTTATTCCAGGCACATGAGCAAGCCTTAAAACAAATTGCTGAAGACCGTGAACTTCAGAAACAGAGGAAGTCAGGTGGTCCTACATCACCACGGCAACAGGCAGTAGAAAGGGATAGCCAAGACACAGTGTTAGCCACGTCACCACTGAAACCAGCACCCTCCACTCAGGACAAATGTTTGCTTCAGGTACGGTGGTCTTGAGGAGGCCGTTTGGTTAATGTTTTCTTTTAGACATGTTGAAGGTGAATGGGGGGGGGGGGGGTTTCGAAAGAAGCACCCTTTTTGTCAGGAAAAGGTCCAATCTGGGTCAAATTTGACCTAGGTACTCAAAGGTTTCATTGTAAAAGGTCCACCATTTCAGAAAAAGAACCCCCTTTTGAAATTGCTGGCTATGGGCCAGATTTAATGAACTAAGTTGCAATTATGTAACTCCTGTTTCATTTATTTCTGACTCAATATGTTGGTGTTGTTTACAGATCCGTCTGATGAATGGCAGAGTTCTAAGACACACTTTCAGTCCTGGCGCCACTCTCAGTGATGTCTGGGATCTGGTGCAGGAACAGGGGCAAAACAGTATCACAGGCAAGATTTTAAAAAAACCTTTCTTTTACTTCAATGCTTGTGTTTGATTTTCATAGAACCATTAGTAAAAATTATGGTTAATTAGTAGTAAGTTGGTTGGGTAATCTGTATGATCCCTTTTGATGAACCTGATTTGTCTTATTACTTATTTATTGGTATTTATGTTGGATTTAATGCAATTTTCTAGGAAAAAGTGTTTTTAATGTAAATTTTTGCATTTGATGATCAAGTTGTCCTGGTAGTACTAGTACTTCATGTTTCTATCAATTTTATGTAATTTGATTAATTCAAATTTTTTTCAAAAAATAGTGATTTTAGTTTTCTAAGTGATTCAGTTTTTTTCCAGTTACATGTTATTCTTGTATATATATATATATATATATTCTTATATGTATATATCCAGGCATGGCCTTCATGCAACCCTTTCCCAGGCGGGAGTTCACTAGAGAGGATCTGACGCGGTCCCTCTCTGAGTTGGGGCTTACCCCTACAGGGTCCTTGGTGCTGAAGAAAATGGAGACTGCCTCAGAAGATACTGGTAACATTGTTTTCAGTTTCAATTTAATTCATATATTAATTCATGTATTTAATATGTATTTATTGGTAAAATTTCAGAATATAAATTTGAAGCATTCTTGGTTTGAAATTATATNNCCAGGGCACGCGTAACACAACCATTCTTGCTCTGCCCCCATAGTAACGGTGCTTGACAACGGAGGCGGAGCCTAAAGCCTGCCACCCGTACCAGTCAGGACAGGTAGAAAAACTCGTCCAAATGTATATTTTTAGTCCGTGTTTCACAAATATAACTTAATTGAGTATTAGATACAAAATTGATTATTTCTAACGTATAAAAAACTAAAAATCGAGTTTAGACGTATTTTTAATATCCTAGACCCCTTAAACCATATCACTTAGAGATAGTAAACTTGTGACATAAACTTCTTTATGTTCAGAAATTTATTACCTCTCTCCATATAGCCTCATCCAGCAGCTCAGACACAGCTGTGAACACACAGCCAGATGGCGCCACCTCACTATCACCACCACCGCCACCATTACTACCCCTTCCAGCTAAAGTAGCGAATAAGGAAGCTGTTGGTGTGGCCACTAGAAGTCCAGTAGGTCATTCCTGGGGTGGGGCTGGACACAGAATGGACACTGAAGAAGAGGCCAGTGGAGTACAAGAACAGGCAGAAGGTGAGGGAAGACGTTAAAAATTCTATACAATTTATAACAAACCTATTTCTGAACTTCCTATAATTACCTGTATGACATCCTATAGGAAATTTCCGTAAGAGACATATTAATCAATATCCAAAACTGTTACCCTCTGTATGAAATATTACCCTGTGGAATAAAAGCAAAAAGCTCTCAGGGATATATAACACAATATGTGGTAGTGAAGCAGGGTGACATTTTGATCGAAAACTTGTATTTTGTTTCCTACGCCACATATTTTAGGTCCGTCTCCTATGGACATTGTTGCTGATGCTGCCAGAGAAACAGATGATGAGGAGGAGGAAGAGATGGAGGAAGAGGGACATGATGTTGTTCCAGGAGGAGGAGTTTTGCCAGGAATGTTACCACCACATCCTATGTTTGGTGAGGAACTGGAATAATGTGGACAAAATAATATAAAATTCAAATCTATACTTTAAACAACAAAGGTTTTGTGAAGACTATCACACTGTTTTATTATAACAAAATATTGTATTATGTTGTATTATTAGTGTATCATATTGTTAATGTATTATATTGTATTGTTAATGTATAATATTGTATTGTTAATGTATCATATTATATAATATTGTAGGAGGGGGAGGACATCATCAGTGCAGAGAGGGACAGAGGCTGGCAGGAGATGTACCAGTAACTGTATCATATTGTATTGTTAATGTATCATATTATATAATATTGTAGGAGGAGGAGGACATCATCAGTGGGGAGAGGGACAGAGGCTGGCAGGAGATGTACCAGTAACTGTATCATATTGTATTGTTAATGTATCATATTATATAATATTGTAGGAGGGGGAGGACATCATCAGTGGGGAGAGGGACAGAGACTGGCAGGAGATGTACCAGTTGTGCCACAACTTCCAGCTCAGTTAGCTAAAAATGCTGCAGGTACATGCTGTTGACCAGTTATGAGGAAGTTTTTAAGGATAATTATTTCCTTTATTGTTTAACATTCTTATAATTCATCCATATTATTGTGTTTTTTTCACTGAGGTTCTGTGTTTTCCCCATTGGAAGGAATTAATCATTATTCATGATCAGGACAATGGAATATTTCTCTCATAATGTTGGTGAGATTTGGAAAAAATAGTTTCATTTTAGTAACTTAATAATCATGAAAAAATAACACGAAATTTAGACATTAGTCCATGGTACGTTTTATATGTTTTGGAATCTTAGAAACTTTTAGAGGAAAGATTTGTTTGACACATTCATAATTTTGCTTTTATTTCCGCTACTTCAGCTGCAGCAGCTTTACAAAGGATAGATCAGCCACAGCAGCCAACACAACCTGTACAACTAAACCAAGAAGAACAGTCACAATCCACTCACCAGAGTGAGCCACCTTCTAGGCAGCAGGCAAGAGGAGCCCAGGTCCATACCCTCCTCCAGCAGTGTACTCGTCATGTCAGCCAGCGCCTGTGTGACCCCAGGGTAATGTCAATGACCTCCCCCCTGGGGTGTTTACCCACAGAGCTGGCCGAAAAGTTGTTGCAATATGTACTAAAGGAGAGACTGCTCAAACCAAAGACTCTAAACGCTTTTTTACCCTGGTGAGTTTGACCTGCTGTTTGGATGTTTTACCTGTTAAGATTATAGTTTAATTGGTTTCTTTGGGAGTACAAGTCTGGTGAAGACATCCTCAGAAAATGAAAGATAAAAACCATAACATTTTCAGTTATGCTGCTTCTTAGAGGTAATGTTTTAACTTTGGGAGTTAGTTCCAGCGAGTCAAATTGAACACCATTGATGAAAGAGGATTACTGCATGTTTTCAACTTGATTTTTTCTCCACATTTTCTCTATTTTAGCCATCTACGTCAACTGGTATTTGATTTTTATCCCTATACAACAAATGAACTGTTAGCAGCAGTGAGGTAAGTTACCTGAACAATGAGGGACCAGTAATTCTGTGCAAAGTAATTTTGGGACTGCAGTTATTTGAGCATGTTAAGAAGGGGGAATGTTAAGTTTTTTGAGAATTTCAAATTTCAAGCAATTTCAAATTTTAAGTGAAATATATATTTCCTTACAAGTGTACGTGTAGAAAAAATTCCAGCTTTTTTCAGTCATTCAGTATTTCATCACATATACATCATTGCTGATACATAATCTGTCTAACTCGTATGAAGATTAACTGATTTTAAGTTAATAAATCAAATTTCTTATTATTTGCAATTGGATGTTTTTTATTTTAAATTTCACAGAAAGAGAGGTCACTTCTAAATCAACTTTTTAGTGACTGTCAAAGATTTTTGTTGTTCATTCAAGTTTATAGAATTCATGTAATGACATACAGTACATAATAGTAAGGTGGTGTGGAACAAGCTCATAGACATGCATGTGAAATGGAAGATTTTTGCCTTTTGTTCATCATCTGACCATTGTATTATCATCTGATCAATGCAGCAACATATGATAATACATTAGTCAAATGATGAATTAAGGCAAAAATCATTCACTGATTCTTTCAAATTTTTAATATGTTAATATGTTGTACAATACTGTAACTTGCCCAGATTCCACACCTTACTAATGCAGCAAGTTGATAATACAATGAAAACGATGAATTAAGGCACAATTCATTCATTCATTCATCCATTCATTCATTCAAGTTTATGTGTAGCTGTTAATGTGTTGACCACTACTGTAATTTGTCCAGATTTCACACCAGTGTGGTCCACGTCAGTCTCTGTTCCTGCACACTGATCACAGACAAGGGACTTCAGCCTCTGGTCACTCTGAGAAAGTTAAAATATCTCAACCTCAGCTGCTGTGGACAGATAACCAATGGCTGCTTTGATGTCATAAAAGGTAAGGATTGAGTAAAGAATGGGTGCTTTGGGAAAGTAGTAATGGTTCAATGTCAGGCATAAAAGATTACCACAAGCTAGCTGCTTGGTACTTTGATATAATTGAAGGTACAGCAATTAGTTAACTGATGAGAATTTATGCTATTCAAGCAGTGAATGAATTGATGTTTTTGTCAACAAGAATGGAGTATGGAGCATTAGAAAGTTTACAGATCCTTAAAAACTATTACCAAGATTTTACAAAGATGAACCTTGCCACTTGTAAATATTCCTGATAGCTTAATGTCCCTCAGTTTATCAAGTATTTCTGTATATTTCAGAGTTTCCGCTGCTTGTCACACTGATACTGGAAGGTACTAAAGTGACAGATGAAGGCGTGCAGGATTACGCTAACTCCGAACCCTCAGAACTTGTCAACCTCAACCTCAATAAAACTGCTGTGACACATGCAATATTCTCTAGTTTACAAAGTAAGCTCAAAATTGATATATTTTCTCACATTGTAATGAGTAAAATTGTTTTTTGTGAATTAAATAAAATCATTGTTTTGCGGATCATAATTCTTTTAAGTACGCATTTTGTTTGTGCTTGTATTTTTCAGAGTTACAAAAACTAAGAAGTCTGAATTTAGACCAAACACAGGTGAGAAAAAATCAGTAACAAATAACAATATACATTGCAGTCTTGTTGGTGCAGATACACTTAAAATGATTGATTTGTATGAACTGAATCATGATTCTACTTGCCAACATTTATTCTTCATACAGTCAATTACAAGCAGCTCAAGCACCTAGCACATAATTTATGGATCTATGCCATAGTGATTTAAACTAGTTTATGTTAAATATCTCATTAGCATAATATATGTATCTGTGTCACTGTGCCCTACATTTCAGGTCCACAGTCTCTCAGGTCTCCAGAGTCTACAGCAGATAGACAGTCTTAGTGTGGCAGCCACAGGGATAGGAACAGACTCTCTCCTGGTGTTGTCTATGTTACATAACCTCAGTGGACTGGATATCTCCAGGACAGAGCATGTAGAGGGAGACACTGCTCTACAGTATATAGCAGGTCAGTTATAATAATAATAATAATAATAATAATAATAATAATAATAATAATAATAATAATAATAATATCTCTAGGACAGAGCATGAAGAGGGAGACACTGCTCTACAGTATAAAGCAGGTCAGTGTGGATTGTTAATAATAATAATAATAATAATAATAATAATAATAATAATAATATCTCTAGGACAGAGCATGTAGAGGGAGATACTGCTCTACAGTATATAGCAGGTCAGTGTGGATTGTTAATAATAATAATAATAATAATAATAATAATAATGGACATAAAACAAAACAAAAAAAATGTTAGTATCAGATTGTGTTAGTTGAGACTGAATTGATTGAGAAGAACAGTGTGTTTACTATTGAATGACAAGCATGCAATGAAGAAACATAGAATCAGCCAGAGTGTGTTAGGTGTGACTGCATGTCTGGAGATGGTTGTGACTAGCACAATATGGTGACACAAACACTGGCTGTGACCAAGTTTCAAGTACACAAGCTAACTTTCAGAAATCAGTCAAAGAGCATTTTTCAAACAACTGGACTAAAACTGACAGATGTTGTTCAGATATAAACAGATTTTTGTCACCACTGAGAGTAAACATCATTGTTAATATTTTTCACAATTTCATTTGGCTTTTGGGCAAGAGCTAAGATATAGAAAAAAAAAAGATGTTAGTTGCTTTGCAGGTGCTGTATAAGCTTTTATTTCCTTATTGTATAAAATACCTGTATTTATTTATATGCTATTATCCCAAGTGCCCTTTGCTATGATTTTCCAGTTAATTTAGTGCTATATAGTGAAGTAAATGGCTATGTATAATGTTAGGGTTATATGCCATATTATACATATCGTAGCATTTTAAAACAAGATAGTGGAAGAAGTGGAGAAGAAATATACAGACCCTGTTTTATTTTACTTGAAAGAGTAAAAAATGGAGAGAATAATGGCAGAGACCATGTTATGAAGATTAATTGTTATTCTTTTTTTTTATCATTTCAGGACTTAGGTTACAAAGTCTAAATTTTCCAAGCCGTTTGTCAACAACAGGTGCAGGAATGTTGCATGTAGCAGGTGATTGCTTATTTATTTATTTATTTATTTATTTATTTATTTATTTATTTATTTATTTATTTATTTATTTATTTTTATTGGATCATTTGTAGTGATTTAAGTTAAAAGCTTTGTTTCTTTGTGGTGTATCTATATAGCCAACAGTTTCAGCTGTCTTTGTAAGTTATGTTCTTCATAAGCTTCCATATCTGTGTAATTGACAACAAACATAACTTAAACAATAATTTAGTAATAAACATGTCAGTCTTTCTGTGATAAACTGTTATGCCTAAGTTTGGTTTCTTTTAATTTTAACAATCTTATTGTGCATGAAAACAGGTTAAAGAAGCCAAACAAGAAAAAGAAGAACATAAAAAATATTTTTCTCTTTCAATATTCAGCCATGCCACTCACTTCCATGGACCTTACAAATTATATCTACATCCAAGACAGGGGACTGGAAAGCATAGGGAAGATCACAAGGTAATCAATAACTAATCAGTACGTATTGATCCATTGGTCCATATGTTTAACCCTGGGGAACCCTGACAGTTTAGTTCTCGTGTAGAGTTGACCCCCTTTCTCTCCCCTGCCTTCACCCATTACTGTATAATATGTACGTGTCCTGTATGAGAGTGCCTGTCCCAAGGAACAGTTGCGTTGTGGCTATTGTCCAAACCAATCAATCAACATTCTAAACCAAGGAAATGGTTACATAACTGTTTGTTATTTTAACCAATCACAACACGTTTATTAACAATTACGGTTTCACCCAAACACACAGTCTTTTCTCTTAATTGTGGGTGTCAAAACACCTCTTAAAACATGCCCTCCGCCCCCTGCGTGCGGTGTAGATCCAGGTTAGCTAACTCTCCTGAATAATATGAATATAAAACTATTCTAACTTTGGTCTCCACTATGTATTTATTTGCAGGTGTTAGAGAATGTAATACGGGGAACATTTGCAAACCTTTTCATTAATTTTTCTATTTTATTGGACATCATGTGTACCAGCGGCACAATGGAGGTTGACCTTTAAGTTGACCTTTGACCTCCAGAGGTTAGCTGCCTTCAGGGGGGTTTATAATTGACTGGTGTGTGTTGTTGTGGCAGGTACTAATGAGTGAAGGAACTGTGGTAATTTGTGGTGTTGTATTACAGGTGTGTGGATAAGGACTTTCACACCTGTAGAGGCATGGTCTTGTTCTTGGGCCTGTTAAACATGGGAAATTGTATCAAAAGTTTGTTTCAGCTTGGAGATGAATTTTTTTAAGAAATCTTTTTTTGACCAAAGATAAGGCCATTCTAGTTTGTTTAAAAGTTTTTTTCTTTTTCAAAGAAAGAAGGTTAATGAGTTATGAATATTTTTGACTGATGCTTGCTTTTATTTATTTGGATTTTTTTTAAATATAAAATCCTAAAATGAAATTGCTGAAATGTTTGGTCAAAAACTTCAGAATAATTTTTATACCAATAAAGTTGTTTTGTAAAGCTCATCTTTATCTGACTTAGTTAAAGGATTGTGTAGTATGAACAAAATAAGGAGTTTTTCTACCCGTATCTCATACTGCAGTGTATCTACTGGACCAGACAACCTTCTGCAGGACTTTCATCAGTGGTGATCTTTTATCAGTGTTGACCTTGTGGTCAATGAAGCAATTGGTTGTAATAACATAAAGTAGCACTCTTGTCAAAACTTAGGGTGTGATTTCATACCTCTGGTATGCTGATATTATTGTGATATGGAGTGCTTGAGGTTTGTGTGCATGTGTGTGTGTAAGTGTGGGTGTATGTGCATGTGCATGCGTGCAGGGGCGGGAGGGGTGATGGGTATTGATCACTGTGAGGTAGCACGAAAAATAAGAATTCTAAGCCAAATAAACATCACTGATATATGCACTTTATCAAATTTCACTTCAACAGAAAATGCTATAGGGATGCAGAAAATAGAAAATAGAAATAATTTTGTATCAGAAGGCATTAGATAATCATTTTGCTGTGTGTTGTTTTTGCCAGAAGGACATGTTAGTTTATTAGTTAAAATAAATTTTTCTGACAAAAATTTTTTGTGTCTTCCAGCTTGAGGCGCCTCCTTTTGACTAATACCAACATCACAGATGTGGGGATGATGTTCTTAGAAGGTACTTGTATGTTAGGAATCATTCCCATAACTCTATCATACTAGCAGTATCAATCTACGTCCGAGGGGATTCTTGCTATATTGCTATAAGTTTAAGCTTGCATGAAAGTTAATTACCAACTAGGAGCTTCAGTGGGTGTGACAGACATGTAAGCTGCTTAAACTGAATGCAATTTAGCAAGAATCCCCTCGGAGTTAGTTCCATGCTTCTAGGGTTATGGGAACCCAGTCTTAGCCTTCAAACATGTAATACATGTTATAGTATCCTTGTCTAGTACTGTCATGTTTGATGTTTCTCAGTCTTGTGGCAGGTTTTCTGTCATACTTAGAGGGAAAACAAGTCTTCGTGTGAGATCTATATTTGACAATGAATACAATGAAAACTAGTCACAGAAATATAATATATTTTATTTTAGCACAAAAATGGCAGTTATAGCAATTTTGGACACACTCTAACCAGTTGCCAAGTTGTCAATGGCTAATGATTGGTCATATTAAAATTTGGCAAAAACAACGCAACTTGAAGTTTCCTCTAACACACCAGCCTATGAACAGCAAGCCATTTTAAGTGTACACACAATCTTAATTAAGCATAATATACATTATAATTATTTGGCTAAAAGAAAAATAATGTTTTAGCCAAATAATTTGTCTAAAGTAAACTTTAATTGCCTCAAAGAAAATTAGCAATTTTAGCCAAATATCTAATTAAAAAAAGGGTAAGATTCAGTGATGTACTGGGAGCTACCAGTGATCTGATATCCATGGCACTTGCTAGATAAGAAAATAGCTTGATTGTTGTAATTCTCAAAAGTGGGCATATCAAATATGAAAACTAAAATTGAAAGCAGCAAATTTCATACATAATACCCCCCCCCCCCCACTTCCACCATAGAGCCAGTCTAGACACGGCAGGTAGCAGTGAGTATTTTGACCACCCCCCACTTCCACCATAGAGCCAGTCTAGACAAGGCAGGTAACAGTGAGTATGTTGACCACCCCCCACTTCCACCATAGAGCCAGTCTAGACAAGGCAGGTAGCAGTGAGTATTTTGACCACCCCCCACTTCCACCATAGAGCCAGTCTAGACAAGGCAGGTAACAGTGAGTATGTTGACCACCCCCCACTTCCACCATAGAGCCAGTCTAGACAAGGCAGGTAGCAGTGAGTATGTTGACCACCCCCCACTTCCACCATAGAGCCAGTCTAGACAAGGCAGGTAGCAGTGAGTATGTTGACCACCCCCCACTTCCACCATAGAGCCAGTCTAGACAAGGCAGGTAACAGTGAGTATGTTGACCACCCCCCACTTCCACCATAGAGCCAGTCTAGACAAGGCAGGTAACAGTGAGTATGTTGACCACCCCCCACTTCCACCATAGAGCCAGTCTAGACAAGGCAGGTAGCAGTGAGTATGTTGACCACCCCCCACTTCCACCATAGAGCCAGTCTAGACAAGGCAGGTAGCAGTGAGTATGTTGACCACCCCCCACTTCCACCATAGAGCCAGTCTAGACAAGGCAGGTAGCAGTGAGTATTTTGACCACCCAGTCTGCTGTGTAATGAGGAGAACTGCCACCTGTTACTGTTTTCTTAGGGGTCAATCTGGTTACTGGGGGGTCAGTATTGTCCAAACTAACCTGGAATGCCATAATGTCAATGTCCACTACTGTCCAGAGGTTGGCATTTCCTGTGTCTTAGGGTTAATTTTGGCCAAATTCAAGTTCTGTATGAAGATTTGTGTTTTAATACACAAGTTAAAACTTTTTGATAACTCTGTGTCTGTCTGTCTGTCTGTCTGTCTGTCTGTCTCTGTGAATTATTACATTATTGCTGATGTGATGTGCAGTTAATTATTTAATAAACAGCAATCAGCTGTGTGTTTGTATGCTAGGCCAGACAATATAGATTTATTGGTTAACAAGTGTTGACTATCTGTTAAACATGGTCAGTAGATGAAATTTCTCTTAGTTTTTAGTCTTTTAAAACATGATGTTTAAGGAGCATAGCATGTAATGTTTAGGGTTAATTGGTGTTTTTTTTTCTAATTTACTTTTGAGGGGAAGCACTTGCCAAATACACAATGTGTGCAGTTTTGGGACATAAAAACAACAACATTTCAGTTATTTTCCTGGGTTCAGTTGTACATTCATCCCAGATATGAAACTTTTATGTCCAGTTTAATTTTTGCATATGATAAAAAAGTACCAGTAGGTGCAAGAAATCAGATCTTTTTCAAAATTAGGTTTGTTATGCTTGTTAAGCAGCTTTTTTGTTTTCTCTGGCCTTGCAAACAAATTCCCATTGAATTAAATTAAATTAAAGTTGTTGCCTTCCTCTACTTTGAGGTCTTACTTGTGCCAGGCTTTTGTAGATTTGCATTCAAAGTAGAAAACAAAAGCTGCCAGGATGAAAAGAAACAATTCTGTCCATTGTTATAAACTAACTCAAAATTAACTCACCTCTGTGTGGCTACAAAGCAACTCCCAAGATGTTAAAAAAATGGTACCTGAAAGAAACTTCTTTAAATGTAGCCGAGTTATTAACCTGATCAGGAGCTGGTATTATATCAAAAAACAGCTTGGGGTGCCAATTTTCTGGCTGGTAACTTGGCCATTTAGTCACCACACGGTTTAACACTTTCCTAAATTTCTGCCTTGAATACTGCTCAATCAGAAAGTTAGTTCAAAGGGGACACGCCTTTGTTATAATTGTCGCACACCTGGCAGTGTTTTTCTTCCAGAGTTCTTGTAATATGTCGGTGATAGTAATGACGGCTTTTTATGATCAATGTGAAATGATTGTGCAAAATTGTCCTTGACTTGAGGGTCTTAAAGTCAAGAAAATTTGTTTTGTAAAATGAGACTGGAACCTTGTAACACCCTTTTATATTCAGCTGTATGGTAACTATTGGACTGTAATCTGGTCACTTTTGTAGTAAAAATTATAGTAAGAATTAATGCCCATCTCTTTTCCTCTCTCTCTCTCTCTCTTAATGTATGTGTGTGAAAATCTTTAACTCAAACAAGTGTAATATATTCTGTTAAATCATTGTGGTGCAGCATGTTACTGTAGAATTAGAAAAGAGCAAGTGTTCCTTGTGGCTCAGTTTGTTGGATCTATCAACTTGATGTCAAAAGTTTTAGAAATTATAGAGAAGGTACACTGACATTTTGTGTCAAGTTTTTTCATTAAATGTTTTAGCTTTGTTTTTTTTTTTTAGGGTTAACAAACCTTGAAGTTTTGTATCTAGACAAAAATGCAATATCAGATGAGGGTGCTGCAGTGATCAAAGGTGGGTCCAGCTCAGTGATTGATAGTAAACTAAGGAGGGGAAAAGGAGTTATGTTGGGCGAAAACAATATGAGACCTTGGTTGAATGTTCTGTAAAATGTTTATTTAGGTCCCCACATTGGCTTTTCCTTTGTCTTTATTTTACATATCTGTAATATATTAATGATACTCTTTTTAAGTCATTCTAGTAAAAAAAAATGTCAGTTAAAAATTCATAGGTATGTGAAGAAATGCAGTATTATATACAGACCACAATTAAAAAGGTATTCATTTCGAATAAAGTGTGTGCTAATATAAACTTGTTTCAAGATGTGAATTTTTTATTTGATGCAATATCTTTTCAGCCTTCTCTAGACTTCAGGAATTAAGTCTGTCAGAAACCAGGTAGATATTTTAGAATTCAACCTTATAGTTATATCTGACCCTCGAGCTCATCAGCATTATAGGACAGGTTTAAATTGCAGCATTTAAATCTGATCCAGTTTGGAAAAGTGAATTAATTGTATAATTGGAGTAGTGCCAAAAGTCATGTTTAATGGGGACAGTTTGGATAGAGTACCATTTTAAATCTGATAGCCATTTTGAAAATTTGATATTGTATTATATTGTTAACATGTAAACCACTGTATCACAAAGTTTAATTTTTTAGAATCTTTGTTTCCCCAATTATCAATAAAATTTTTGAAATAATATTTTTGAAAAACTGATTCCTCAAACACATTTTTTTCATTAATCAAAAACTTTTAATCTATTTCAGAGTATCCAGTGATTTTCTAGTGGCAGGAATTCTTAACAGGTGTCTCCAGTTGACCAAACTTAATCTGAGCAGAACTAGAGTGTCTGACAGAGGTATGGTCATTACTCAGAATTCTTAATTGGCAAAATTTGTCAAACATTCAGACACATAATTTTATAATCACAAAAATATATTTCAATATTGCGTTTGTGGTGCTTTTACTGCATTCAATACAGCTATAGAGTAGCATGCTTTTCAATTTTGTTGCTACCGCTCAAAAGGAATGCTCAAATTTTAATGAGATAATGACCGAAGAAGTATAGTATCTGTAAAATTCACAATTTTCCCCATTGAAAAGATCGAGTTATTACTGGGGGTATTTATAAACAGTTTTGTGACTAGTGGAGCACCTCTTTGTGTCTGATGATTAAATGTAGAAATACATGGAACAAATCAAAACTAGACTGCAGTGTCCCATGTCTGGGTACTGTGCTAGCAGCTGCAGAAATCTCAGTAATCTAGTCATAGTCGTTAGACACGGAAAATCTGGGAATTGAATCAGTGTCTTGAACTGTAAACCATGTAAGTCTCCGTGAACTATGGATAACTGCTGATTTCTGCTGAGAACTGGCCATCAGTCAATTAACTTGGTCAGTTGTCAGCGAAAAGATCAGTAAAAAGCTGGGTACAAGTATTGTAATGGACAGCTGTGTTACTTAATTATTGGTCAGAAAATTGGAGGCGGATCAGAGTGACCAGTGTGGTCATTGATTGTGAAAATGTTAATCAATATTTCATCTAATGAACCTTCATTTGTGAATATCTCTCTCCTTCTCTCTCTTTTGACCCCCATCGCTCTCTCTCTCTCCTGATAATTGCCAAAACAGCCAGATTATACGGGAAACTTTTGTATTCTAGGTATAAAATGTCTGAGACTGCCGCACTTGGCCCTATTAAACTTGGACGGGACGCGGGTCAAGATGACCACTGTCCTCAAACTAGACGGTCTGCCGGAACTGAAGAACGCCAGCGCAAAGAACTTAACAGCTCCAGGGGACAGCTCTGATGATTAAAGCAGCAAGACGTCAATGAAAACAAAGAATATGTTTTTCAATTTACATATTCATATCGTTTTCTGGTGTCAGAAACATGTCAGTGTACCATTACCCCTGGGGGGGGGGATCCTCAACGTAATCATTTCCTTCTATTGCACGGTGTAACATGAATATCTGACTCCCATGAATATTTGACTCCCGGAGTCGAATCTGACTCCTCCATGAAATCTTGACTCCCAGGGGCGCTGATCCTAACCCTAACCCTAACCTGCAACTTACAAAAAGTGCCAAGGTATCCTCCATTATGCGTGCTACAAGATAAAAGTCATATACTCAAATAATATATGATTTTTGAAATTTCATGTTGGGGGGGGGGGGGGGTAATGAAAATTTCAGTATGAAATTTTGACTTGGAAGTCTTCTTTTTGGGGAGTCAGATTTTTATTGTGCAACGGAATAAAGCGGAGATGAAACATTTTTCAGTTTGTTGTATAAACAAACAGCTGATGATTTCGATGACTGTACCCTAAGGGGATTATTTATTCTTTATTCAAGTGAATGATAGACTACATATTAGTGGTCGTGTAGTGACGGCTGATTGAAATACGGGTCGTTGCAAAAAGATCAATGACAAGTATAAAACTTAGGTGACAGGGAGCAGGCGTCAACTAACACTGTCCCGCATACCACGCTGTGGTTGCCTGGGTATCTTTACCGATCACGGTGAAGGACTTCAGCACCTTTCACAGTTTTGCCGGTTTTGCCGAGGTTGTATTGTTGGTGAACAAACATTGTTTTTGTCTGCTCTGATGATAAAACGAAACAATAAATTGTCTTCTTATGATGAATGGGCTTGTTATATGATTGTGGCAATTTTAGAATTGTATGAGGTGGCTATCTCGGCACTCTGACAGTGACAGCCATTTATATATGAAATGTTTTTATTGTTTAATATACACTGAACGAAAATAAAACAGCCAGCACAATATCGGCATTATGGGTTATATTTATTAAATAATAAAAAGTGAATTTTGTTGTTCAAGATGATGCAGATAACTGTCCGTAGCCCTTTGCATGTTACATAAATAATTTACATGAGTGTTTATATTTTTGCTCAGTGTACGTAAAGTTCTTTTACATTATATTAACGTTGGGAAGAATGCTAACGTGACGAAAGTTATTAAAAAAAAAAAAGAAAAAAAAAAAACTTGGGAAAACTGCGCCACTTATATGTAGGATGCATGGTCAATGTGTCAGTTTGTAAAAGAAACGTTAGCTTTTGAAAAGATACAAAATCTCTGTATTTCGAAAGTGTGGGAAAAATTCTTGTATGGGAGCGGTAAAATTTAAAGTATTGGTATGTAAATTTGATTGAAGTTTTAGAGTTTAACTGTTGCTTATTCTAGAATTACCTGGTTAAAAGAAAACGAGAATCAAGCATTTCTCTGGCATCCTGGGTAAAAATAACGATGTTTTGTTTGGGCTGACTTGGACTCCGTATGGAAGCCAGCGGTTCATTTTTTAACCAAAGAAAACAGCAATCGTGATTTTTTGTGTTTTGGTATGGAATTAAAAGCGAAGTAATTGGTCGTTTTCCCGTCGAGTCTGATAAGCATTGTTGTTTTACGTAATTCTATCGGAAAGGAACGGAATGGGGAGGGAAAACCAGGACGACGGGGAAAATGTGTTACCTTGCATGATACAAACACTTTGCCTGCGGCGTTTACACAAGTAAAACTATTACGTAAATGTTTCTCTTTCTTGGTCACCTTTTTTTTTCTTTGATTTTTTTTTTCATCTCTCAAAAAGACGTGAATTCAGGGCTAAAGGATTCATAGCCACCCTTTTAACATTTGATTTTGGTAATGGAGAATTTATCCCGCTTTTTTCTCTCTCACTAAAGAACGATTTTGCTTTCACTTACACGCGCACTTACACCCATGTCCTTCTGTCTCTTCTCACCATCTCTCTCTCTCTCTCTCTCACACACACGCGCGCGCGCGCAAGCACACTCATTTGAAGTTCACACAATCAGAACTCGTTGCTCAGTGTTTTTGGGTTTCGGACCAAGTCTTGAATTCGATTAACCTCTGGAAGACAATGCCTGGGCTGTGTTTGTTTGGTTGCGCAACGGTACATCTTACCTTAGCTTATTTGTTCTAGCAAAACTTTAGGGAGAGGGGCGAGAAATAAACCTCTCAGGATTGTGAGATTTTATACTCACTGTAAAGAAGTAATCAATCACCAAGGTTTGGCGTTTCTATGCGTTGCGTAGAATTATGTGATTTTCATTTCAGAAATTCATATTCAAATTCTAATCAGAATTCTACGTAAATTATAAAGTTAAACTTTCTTCCCACCTCTGTCGCCCCTACACCAAATTGAAAAGCAGCCCGCGCATGCTCAATTAGCGTTACGGTAAATCAGTCCTGCAGTACAGGTGTAATATCGGGTTGCAGGCAGGCAGATTAGCCCACGTCTACATGGCTTTACTCAAACGAAACCAGAGGTGCGCTGCGGAGTTAGGAATATGCTCCGACTGAATCCTCGCCTCGGATTCTAAAATCCCAGGGAGAAAAAAATTCGTTCAAAAAGTCTGGAAACAAACTGGGAAAGGAAACCTGGGATCACATGCCGTCCTGGAGTTGTTGAAGTGAAAGTTTTCTGACTTGTTTCTGTGTTTATTGAGGTGGAAAACTGATATTATTGATAATTTCTGGACGCTCATCGGTCAATATCGAAAAGAGAAGTTTGCCAAGGAGGTATTAATGCCAGGATTTTTTGTGGACCTTCTGTTAAGGTAAGTTTTTCTAAACACAAACAATGCTTCGTTCCTATTATCGTTATATCATCCTTGTGTCTGATATCTGCTGCTGTTAAATATGTATGTTTTATTTTTCTGTAAGGCGATGTAGGGATTTTATTGTTTCACGTCAAAAAGGGAAGGGCAGCGTGTCTTTCAGTCGCGGTAACTGGTCGCGTCTCTGTGGTGGTTATTGTTGTTGTTTTTGTCGCTCAGAAGTTTGACGCAGGTGAAAACTTATATTATGCAATAATTCTGCGCTTTAGTGTTTTATGCTGTCGTCAAAACATTAGGTAAACACTTCTGTTGCCTGAGAGTTTTATTGAATATATATTGTAAAAATGTAAAAGAATATCGGAAATATTACCAGCGGGAAGACCAAGATTTGTCACATCCTCAGATCACCTGAATTATGGTATTTAAAAAAGGTAGATCGATTTTGATAATCTTTACCCCCCTTTGCTTTAAAAAGGAAATGAGAAGAGTTTATAATATTTGGAAGAAATATCTTTGAGCACTCTTGAAATATTCATCAAGTGACTGCACAACGAAGTTAAAGCAAGCGTTTCTGAAACAGCGCGTCTCAGCCCGACTCTCGTACTTTGAATACTTTATACGTTCATTTGTAAATATGTTTTGCCGAAGGAAAAACAGATTATCTCTTTCATTAGGTCATTGTCATCTACATCTGATCTCGAACTGAACCTAGGGAAACAGAAAAACCGTGTCGCACTCCATTCTCTCTCTCTCTCTCTCTCTCTCTCTCTCTCTCGGGGTTGTATTTATTTCAGTAGAATATTTAAAAAGATATGTTCCTCAAACATTACACATATTCTTCAAACAACCATATTTTACTTGTTAGATGACGGTCAACAGTTTGCCATATCTATACGTGTGAACGTATGGTTTTCATTGTTGTGCGTTAAGTTTTAATTCAGTTTCAGGTGTTATTCTTTTGTATTGTCAATAGAAATATAGGCAGTAGAACCACTTGCATCGTTTTAAGTTTTATAAGTGCTCAGCATTAGTTTTAAACCTGTTCATGTTTCACGGTAGCAGGACATCTCAGCTTAGTCGTAGTTGTCTGACCATAAACACATGTTCGTATATATACAGTGAACGTACTGTGTTACAGCTTGCTACGAAATCGCCTTATGGGCAATACGGTATTATGTCCCCATAATACGTTTATGCATTCTCTCTTATTTTACATTACAGTCGACATAAAGATTAAAGAATTTATTAATTTCACTCCAATGCAGCGATCTTTCCGATGTATTAAGCAGCGCTTTGTTGCGCTGGCATTTCTTGCTGGTTGCGTAAGCAGAGGAAAGGGTTCTCACAATGATAAATTGTGTCCAATTTGTTGAATAAATACCCGGATGACAATCGCGGTCACTCACGGCGTTATGAGGAAACTTGACCGTGAACAAGTTGTGCGTTTGTTGACACGGGCTCGGTCAGCCGGCCAACCGAGAAAAAAGTGCTTTTTAACGAGAAGACCCTGTAACCTACTCCCCGTGGAGACACCGATTCCCGGACAGATACTGATATTTAAAGAAGAAAACCCTTCTCGCAAGTGTATTACATTTTTTTTTTTTGTGAAAAGGTGGCCGTAATCAGACAGCTTGCTTGGAGAATAACCACACCCTTCTACCTATTTGCCCTCGCTTCTCCTACTAACAATCATTCCGATTTCTCGTCGATTTATAGATTTATCGTGAAATAAAACTGAATGTTTATGCCATTCCACTGGTGCGTGATCAGTTGCCAAGTCTTCGATACCGAGCGGCAAAGATAAACTCTTGTCATTGAGGAGAAGTTTTGGTTATTGCGTTATTTTCATGTAGCTCCGGCGGGCGTCCAGCTATGCAAACTCCCCACCGCTGAAGATAGGAAGCCCTTGTATCCTCTGATGTTTTCCCACATGAAGAGGACGTTAAAAGCCACCCGTAAAAGAAATATTCAACCAACCTTGAATTAAAGATGTGAAAACAGCTTCATGGGCAGCAGCGCCACGCAAGGCCACCAAAGAGGTGGATTTATATTTTTCCTGAAAGATGGCCGGCGCAATAATTTTAATTGCACTGGGAAGTGACAACACAGCAAAAAATAAATAAATAATGATAATAATGCCATGAACGACATGCTGTGCATGCACCGACTTGCTTGCTATTGGCACCGTTAACCCGGATCCATCGGCATTTAGACCGACCTATCAGAGTTTTAAACGAACCAAGTCCCAAGTGTACCAGTTCCAGAATGGGCGGAGGGCAAGATATCAAGTCCCCAACGCAAACAGAAAATATTTTATTATCACAATCTCAGCCTGTGTCAATGTTACGATTTCCTCAGCCCAGATATCGCCAACGACTCAAGGCTACAAATAAAATAACAAATACTCCCCCCTCAATGTTATGAAATATGCTTGGTATAATATTGAGAAATACGCATGCAACGCATGAATGAAAAGAAAAACGGCCTCAGGGTAAAAAACTACTACGTTAAGATTATTATTAGACGGGATCAGGTATTTACGGAAGCCTTTGTATCGTTTCACGCCACCGTACATATTTTGTGGGCCATTACTCAAGTAGTATACATAAGAGAGTTTAATGGTCAAAATGGTATGAGAATCGAACGCTGGGACTGTGTTTATTAGACAATGTTGGCAAGGATGTTACGTAAATCTCTCGTGTACTGGAACCGCTGCCAGGTCAAAGTGAACACAGCCGGAACGCTCTGGTTTCGTCTAATTGTGTTCTCCCCTGTTTTCTATTCTTTGTCGTCTTTGTAAGGATACTTCCTTGGTTTCCGCGCACATTAAAATTTTTCTAATCTTGTATTTATTCTGTTTTGCTGTGTTCTTTACAGTTATTTGGGTTGTGTTACTCTGTTATCTAAATGTAAATTAAAAGCCTGTAAGTCACTCTCTATGTCTACCAGTCAATTCTTGTTGGAAGTTATTCAGTTACAGTTGGCTTGTTGGTCGGACGGGTGATTGTTTCGTCAGTCAGTTATTTTCTGTCAGTGACATTCTGTCAATTAGCCAATCACCTGTTAGTTAGTTAGTTAGCTGGCTCTATGGCCAGTAATCGTTCGATAGTCAGTCAAATAGTGACTCAGTAAGTTAGATAAAAACAGCTTATCTCCTGAACAGATATTTTCTGTATTAAACCAACGCGAGGAGCCGATTACAATTCAATACCCATACAACCCATAACGTACCCAAACTCCCTATTGTAAGAACATTAGACCGAGCCCCAGGGGTCCCACAATACAAAGGTTACGTGTATAAAATATACTGCCTCTCCAGAACACTGTTGTACAACTGTACGACTGAAAGACTCGAGATTCGATTGAAGTAATGGGATCAATCTTCATGGTGGACTGGTATTATTTCCTCTGAGTTTTCCCCGTCATTAGAGGGCTGGGTGTAATCCTAGCTCAGACGGGTAGATATGAGACGGTTGGATTAAGGTATTTCTTTTAGACTGAACCCTCAAGTGTAAGATTACCAGTAAAAGGAGTGCTGTAAACTACAAGTGAACCTGAATTTGAACGTTTCTATTGGAAAAACCGAGCTAAGAATCGAACGGGTATTTTGAGAGAGAGAGAGAGAGAGAGAGAGAGAGAGAGATTTATAATAAGGAAAGAAATGAACATTCTTGTGGCATACCAATGCTTTATTTCGGGGATTACCTGGCTACGAAATGAAACATTTCGATTATTGTCCTCAAAAACAAATGTTTTAACAGGTGGAAGAGGGATAAACAGGAATCTGACCTAAAACAAAATAACTCCCAGCGAGGGACAAAGGCTGGAAGAAGAATCTGAAGTCACAGGAACAAATCAAATCCATCGCTCCTTTCTGACCAGAGTTAAGCCGCCCTGGTTTTATTTGGAAATTGACACGTTTCATTATGAAATTGACACGTTTTATTTTGAAATCGACACGTTTTATTTTCACGCTTACGTCCATTGTCGTAAGCCGACAGCCTATTTACCTTTTCTTATGTTTAGACTACATGACTTCTATAATAGAAATCGGATGCCGCTCTCCTAATAAAGTATGTTTAGCTAACTTAAGCTTACTTTGAATTCGTTAACGTTCATTGATCTCAATACATTGAAAGTATGTTGCACGGTTCTAACAAATACTGTTTCATTCTTTGTGGAGTAATTAAGTTGTGGTGTTATCTTTTTTATCAGCTTCGAATCTTTGAAATTCTATTTTCTATTTAACAAGTAACTCAATATAAAATAGATCCTGTTAAACTTTGCGAACAATTGAGTTGAACTCTAAGCAATTTACGTTATCATCCGTACGTCGTAGATATTGCGAAACATCATCTCTCTCTCTTTCCCCCCTCCCTCTCTCTCTCTCTCCTCTCAATCAATCAACAATCGTCCCAGTAACACACTTACAGAGTACCAATAATATATCGCGCAGCTTTCAGACGAAAGGTCCATTATTTGTTCATATCGCTGTTATTACAAGCATGTATCAAACACAGAGTCAACCCTCGATACTATGTAATAATTTCCCTTTTACCAGTCACGATGGTGCAGCCAGTGAACCGTGGTGGCTGGGTTACATGGAAGTAGATTGCGAAACAATGCAAGTTTGAACGTAAGGACCCCCTTAACCCCATCCCTTGTGAAAGGGGGACGCGCACCGCAAATGTGACTGGGAGTCACGTCTGAAGTCGTGGCACCACGGAGTTTTCAATTTGTCCGGTTGTGGGAGGCATTCCATTGGTCGTGAGAGTGTTACGTTGTTACGTGCAACTGTTTATATGTTATTGGAGGGTTTTTGTGGATCTTTATTTCATATTAATAAGTGATTGAATTCGTGATTTTGAATGTGTGTGTTTGATGTCTGTGTTTGCACTTGAACTCTCTCTAAGGGGGATGGAAAGGGGATGGGCTTGGTAAATATTTCTCCATCTTACAAAAGTCATTTCTTAAAAAGAATTAAGCAAAATAATTCATTT